TGAGTGAAGCTGGTTGAAGGAAGCAAGATCCCGTTGCTTCAAATCAACAGATTGATTAACTGTGAGTCTGGGTGTCTCCATACTGCAACATTTCAGCAGTTGGATACCATTAATTCTCTACTGAGCGTAGGGCACCACACTAAGAATCTCTTGCAGGAAACTCTTAGCGGTGCATCAAACTGCATCTCCAAGGATTTCCAAAGGCCAAAGCCATGTCATTTGACCTGGTCTTGAACTGCTGCAGTTGTGCAGTGTAGACAGACTCTACATTGTTTAGGGGCACTTCTGATAAATTGTCAAGGTTTCCCTTGACAATTTTTGTCCAGTCGTGTTTGACTCTAGGGGGCGGTGCTCATCCCCGTTTCCAAGCCATAGAGCCAGCGTTTTGTCCGAAGACAATTTTCCGTGGTCACATGGCCAGTGCGACTTAGACACGGAACATTGTTACCTTCCCACCGAGGTGGTCCCTATTGATCTACTTGCATTTGCATGCTTTCGAACCGCTAGGTTGGCGGGAGCTGGGACAAGCGACGGGCGATCACTCCGTCGTGTGGATTCGATCTTGCGACTGCTGGTCTTCTGACCCTGCAGCACACAAAGGCTTCTGCGGTTTAGCCTGCAGCGCCACCACGCTGATTATGACGACCTGTGAAATGAGGGAGCTGAACTCCAAAAAGGGGCGATATTTTAAGATGCAATATTTCTTAAGGGGAAAATGTAGGACTGAAAGAGAGACTGTGACTTACCAGGAAAAAAAAGTTTGACATAGGATGAGCAGAAGAAGAAAGTATGGGAGTTGACTTGGCTGTGTTTGTGCTTCAGAGGTCTTTTCATCCCTAACATTTTCCAACACACACTGAGAAGTGATCGACAAATTGGAAGTAGAGACAGACCCAGGAAGGTCTAAATCAAGATAGGCTTCTTGATTATTTATTAACTCAGCAATGGATGCATAATTAGCTCTTAGCAGACCTTTTTCTATGCCACCCATCACCATAGTAACTCAGTGCCTCACAGCCTTTAACAGATTGGCCTTCACAGCGGCCCTGTGAAGTGGCCTAATGAGGGAGAGATTAATGGCCAGAATCTTTTTTTAAAGCGATGCAAACATGGGCTAATGAGGGATGGAGGACTTTTGGATCAGAGGTCTTCTGGAGCTGCTCAGACCCTTTTTTTTTAACCTAGCCTCAAGAAGAACCCTTGGTCTGATTATCAGAATCTTTTGAGTTGAAAGCAAGCTTTGCGTCCTGATAACTTTCTTGTACTACAAGTCAGAAACGTTATTTTAGGCTGCCAAAGAGCTATGTATAGCTGGCTAGCTCAGTGGTTTAGATACCTGGCTGTGGAACCAGAAGTCTGGTTCCCCACTGCGCCCCCAGCAAGTAGATCCCGTGTGTGAGGCCTAAGGCACGGTCTCAGAACTCGCCTAGAAGAAGGGAATGGGGAGCAGGCTGCCAAAGAGCTATGTATAGCTGGCTGGCTAAGTGGTTTAGATACCTGGCCGTGGAGCCAGAAGTCTGGTTCCCCATGGCACCCCCGGCAAGTAGATCCCGTCTGTGAGGCCTAAGGCAAGCGGCACGGTCTCAGAACTCACCCAGAAGAAGGGAATGGTGAGCCACTTCTGAGTATTCTCTACCTGGAAAACTCTAAAAAGGGTTGCCGTGAGTCAGGAGTGACTTGACGGAACACAATTATTTTAAAGAACTAAGTGCCAATTTTGTGACTGATACGTACAGTGATCAGATGTCAAGAACAGCACTCCTTCTCTTCAGAAATAACGCAAGCATTCACTCCAACTGTTTCCATTTATCAGGAATAGCTTTCTTGCACAAAACACTGCACCGTACTCTTGCAGCCCGAAGGAAAAAGGCAGTTCCTTGAAAGCAATGTGACTATAGGCTGATCGCAAATTAGAAAGTATGCAGGCAGTACAGAACACAACTTTTGGGCTCATGTATTTGCACAGGGTGTTAAATATTGACGAACAGTGTAGGGATTAAAAAAAAAATCAGGAAGAAGCCCAAATGGGTAAATAAGCCAAGATGTGAAGGCATAGCAATTGGAAGCTTTCACTCTGCTGCAAAGAAGGCCACTTTGCAGGATGTTCCCCCAACAGATGCTGATGAATCCAGTGTTGGAACAGTGAATCTATGTGAGGTTATGGCTTAAACTCAACAAGCGCTGGCAATGATTCCGAAACCTGGGTTAAGTTCGATTCACTCTGAACTTGAGTGCCTAGACTGCTGCTGATGTCACTTGACAGTGGTTGCAAAAGCGAAACCAAACCTTAGGGAAAGGAAGCTTAGCTACTTGTTTTTGCTGATGGTGAGCCCTGCCCTCAAGAAACGAATGGGTCATTTCTCCTGTTACTGGAAACAAATGACAAAATAGTTCCCTTGCTCCATATGCATATGATTTCTGTAAGTACAAATGTGGGACAACATTTCGAGAGGCTATTTCTGAACAGATTCTAAATATTATACTGCACCAGAAACAAGCTAGGCTTGCCAACTTTTTTTAATGGTCCCTGAACAGCAGTCTCTGCTGCAGAGTTTTGAATTTCTAGTAAAATTCTTTTTTGTGACACAGTAGAAGTACAGAAACCCACAGAGGAGAATCGTTGCAAGTCCCCCAGATAGCCCATCCCTTTCTCATTAACTGGCACTTAAAGTCTCAATAACTCACGCTGAGATATTTGTAGGAGAAAGAATAAAAGCATTTCATTACTTACAGTTGCGAACAGATCAACAGCAAAAAACAAACAAACAAGAAACACCAATCTGACTGCAACAGACTAAAGAAAGGGGAAAAGAACACTCAACAGAGAGGAGGGACTCTCGGAATTCAAAGGCAGGAAGGAACGATTGGTTAGTGCTGGATTGATTGACAGTCACCCCAGCCCGTAAAGGTCCTTCCCAGCCAAACTTACTAAAGGCAGCATGTGAGGTTGCAAATAAAACTCCAGCAGTGTCTTCTACAGACAATGGGGTGAAACCCATTGTCAAGCTTTCCTCTGCCTATTTTTTGCAGATCAGAGCAGGATTCTGTTCAGGGCAACTTTGCTAGTCACTTGGCGAACCTAGCATGAGCAAGGAATAGTATGAACGAGTTAGTGCCGGAGATTTATTTGCCTTCCTGCACTCATGACCCCACCCTCACCTTTCCTTCACTGATAGTGCAATTAGCTTTTGATCAGAAAGTAGAAGATATTTTTCTGAGTCTGGATTATTAACTTAAAAACCAAGTCATGATCATTCTAATTTGTATGCCCTTATTGCCTTCTTTTTTAAAAAAAAAAGTCAGGTAATTGCTTGCCACTTGTAAAGGGGTATAAATTAATGTCTATTAGACAACGCATTGCAGGAGAACTTATATTAGCCTGTAATCATACCCTTTTAAATGTCCAACACTCTTTCCAGGCACTGCTGGCAGCTACAACCCTCGTGTTTCGAAGGGGGGGGAATTACCCTTTGGAGGAAACAAGATTGCAAGAGAAACTTCTGCAGCTATAGAACTCATGAGAAATACGTAAATGAAATAAATCAGGCTTAATTGAAACAAACCTATGAAGCTTTACTTCTGAAAATTAATTAATTACAATGCAGTTCCAAAGCCAAACAAATACTGTAGTTAGTTACAGCTACTAAGATCATGCCCACTGGTCCCATCACCTCCTGGCAATTAGAAGGGGAAGATATGGAGGCAGTGACAGATTTGACTTTCTTGGGCTCCATGATCACTGCAGATGGGGACAGCAGCCATGAAATTAAAAGACGCCTGCTTCTAGGGAGGAAAGTGATGACAAACCTAGACAGCATCTTAAAAAGCAGAGACATTGCCTTGTCGACAAAGGTCCGCATAGTCAAAGCTATGGTTTTTCCAGTAGCGATGTATGGAAGTGAGAGCTGGACCATATAGGCTGACCACTGAAGAATTGATATTTTTGAATTGTGGTACTGAAGGAGACTCTTAACTAATAATTATGCGCTGTCTAGTTGTTCCCAATTTATGGCAAGCTGTCTCCCATGGAATTTTCTAGGTATAAAGTACTTAGAAGAGGTTTAACAGCCCCTCCTTCTGGTGGTGTTCTGTGGCCATGCAGATTGTCCAAGGCTGTGCAACTGGCAGGGCATATGATCTCCTTCAGCTTCACATGTTAGTGTGATCTTGCCTGCCTCAGTAGAAGGCACCGTGAGGATTCAAAGTCCTAGCCCTTGGCTTCACAGCCTGAATGGACCTCAACAGATGGGAAACCTTGATATCTGGGCAGGCAAACAGATGGGAAACCTTGATATCTGGGCAGGTGCAGCATGCCTCTCCCATTTTAAAGAGACCTTTATCCAGCAGGCCAAGGCAAAGAGGCAGTCCTGAAACCAGCAAACTCAGAAAACTGGACAGGGGACAGATTGGATTTGTCTTCAGTGTGGAAGGGATTGCCACTCTCAAATTGGCCTTTTCAGCCACACTAGACGCTGTTCCAAGACCTCCATACAGAGCGCATTACCATAGTCTCTCAAGAGTGAAGGATGCCTAATCTAATCTAAGGTTGGTGATACTGGGATTTCCCCCCCCCTTTTTAAGTTCTTTTCGCAAGCACATGAGAGATTATTGAACTAGGTGTTCTGATGAACTATTTGTCGATGCCAAGTTTTGACAAGAAAAATGTGTACAGTGGGAAGCAACAAAAGATTCCCCCTTTGTCACAGTTGTTACGAAGGCTGGTTGTGGAGCAAGAGGTTGGGAGCTGGATTTCCCGTTGTGCTTTCAGGGAGGAAGAGCTGGTCTGTCTCAAGAGCTGGCCTGTGTCACCTTGGGCAAGCCCATGGCATGCCAAGCAGGGCTTGATAAAGCTGCTTTCTTTGACTGCAGCTGCCACAATTCTCCTAACCAGCCTAGCCATTGGTCAGAATCCTCCGATGTCAGAATGAAGTCACAATTTGGTCTCTATCTTTGCAAACTGAGAGGCAGTTAACAGTCAGGCTGAGCCTTCATCTGGTCAGGATGGATCTTCCTGTAAGGTCAAGTTGAGGGTTGAAGGTGGGTTATACGACCTGTTGATAGCTATGGTGTCATAATGGATAGAGTGTCAGGCAGGAACTTGGGAGGCCTTCAGTGAGGATCCTAGAGGAGTGGGCAGGAGCTTAAAAATAACTTTATTCTAAAAAGCTTCAAGGCCCCCTTGTACTAATAGTCAACTGCCCATTTTCTTTAAAGATGCTCCTGAAATTATTCCTTCCTGTCAATTCAGCTATTGATAGGGAAAATATGTCATGTGACTAAGGATGTCACACTTCAGGTAATGAGTGATCCCCAGGGCTTGGGATCTGTGTCTTTGCTTTTCTACTGGAAGCAGGCTTTCGGGTCATGCTAAAGGTTTTTTTGGGAATTGTTACGAAAGAGGGTTGTGGAGCCAGAGGTTGGGAGTTGGATTTCCCACTGTGCCTTCAGGGAGGAAGAGCTGGCCTATGTCACCTTGAGCAAGCTCATCACATGCCAAGCAGAGCTTGATAAAGTTGCTTTCTTTGACTTCAGCTCCCACAATTCTCCCAACCTGCCTAGCCATAGGTCAGAATCCTCTGATGTCAGAATGAGGTCACAATCTGGTCTGTATCTTTGCAAACTGAGAGGCAGTTAACAGTCAGGCTGAGCCTCCATCTGGTCAGGATGGATCTTCCTGTTAGGTCAAGATGAGGGTTGAAGGTGGATTATTATATGACCTGTTTACAGCTATGGTGTCATAGTGGATAGGGTGTCAGGCAGGAACTTGGGAGGCCTTCAGCGAGGATCCTAGAGGAGTGGGCAGGAGCTTGAAAATAACTTTATTCTAAAAAGCTTCAAGGCCCCCTTATACTAATAGTCAACTGCCCATTTTCTTTAAAATGCTCCTGAAATTCTGAATTCCTTATTTTCAGTTAAGCTATTGATAGGGAGCCTGGTAGGTGGGACTCATTAGCCTGGGAAGGTAGTCCATCTAGGAGAAGGAAAACTCTGATTCCAAACCTCCTCTGCCTTGTGGCTATATCCACTGATGGAAAAGGCTTCAGGAGTTAACCTCAAGGCAAAATCTGGAGCCGGAGTCTAGGAGTCAGTTTGTGTCGTTCTGGCAACTCCTGTGACGTCGCTAGAACCAGTTGTATTGGCTCTTGCCTTTCCATTGGACTATTTTAGTGATGTGGAGCGGGGGGATTTGCTGCTTGGGTAACAGCGTATCCTCTATATTATTTAACCCAGGCTCCGTGCTCTGGAGATGACAGTCCAGCTTCGCATACAGTGTCAAAGTCCTCCATACAGAACACGTTACCATAGTATCTCGAGGCTGAAGGATGCCTATGAATTCCAATCCACTGAGCTATGCTAGGACTATGTCTATAATAAGCAATAAAACTCCAATGGACTTCTATCTCACTTTTTAGGATACTTATCCTCCCACCTATGGCAGATATGGAATCTTAAGAATTTTATTGAAAGGGGGAAGAATTTAATGTGCCTAACAGCTGCATAACTTTGAAAGTTCAGGCTGTTTTATTAGTATTCTAAGCACTCTGGAGACTTTATTCATTTCAGATTGACAAGCAGCAACCTATTTATAAGCAAGAAAGGACAAGAGAGATATCAGCTAGCTTCTCTCTCTCTCTCTCTCTCTCTCTCTTTGATCATGCACATTTTGGATGTGCTTGTTCCTATTTGTGTCATAAAATCTGGCCCTTGAAATTGTATAGGAATTCCCTACAAACACAGGTCCTGGAATGTTATTCTAATTCTCTGTGCCATAAACCTAGGAAGTATAGATCAAACAGGTAATGGTTCTCCAATTGTTGTTGGACTATAATTCCCATAATCCCATTTATATTGGCTAGGGCCAATGGGAGTTGTAGTACCACAACATCTGGAAGGCTACAAGGTGCCCACCCCATAGTTAGGAGGTCCAACATAATAAAAAGAGGAGTGTTGGTTGCCAAAAGAAGAGGAACGCTCCTGCTCCATGGAGTTTTCTCAAAATTAGAAAGTGCAGAAAAGTGGGGGAAAGACTGCAATTATAGTTCATTTTTGGATGTTGGGTTTCCAGGGATCCAGCTGGAGTCTTGGGAAATTGCTAAGCTTCTTCCCATATCTCACTCCAGAGCAACAGGACAAGTCAATGGAAGAGGAGAAAATTTGGCTTTGGTCATTGAGGTAACTCTACAGTCTGGGCACCCATCTCTAGCTGGTGCCCAGTATTTATTGGCTCATCATGAAGATGTTTTCATTTGTGTTATGCAAAATCGGCACATCAAAAAGCCAAGGATGAGGGCAGAGTATAGGGGAGGAAGGTTCATCTGCATGCAGTTGGAATCACTGGGTCATCTGGAGCAAGACAAGGACTGGAGCTGCAGCATTATGACTCATGAGACTTCTTGTGGCAGGAGCTCTGGCCGTAGTAGCACAGAGTCTGAGAAGAAGGCTCCTCATGCACTGGTAATGGGTCTTCAATAAACCCTAGCAGAAATGGGCCTGGAAAAACTCACCTTGCATATTGTAGACACGGCTGTATGGAATGCAAACCATGGTGAGAAGTGCTGCTGGTTGCATTCTTGCAATCTGGCCACAGGATGACAAGGTTCCCACCCACCCCGACCATGTCAACTCAAGGTTGCTGTATTATCTGGTTAGTTGGATTTTACCTGATGATTAGGTTCATTTATCCAGATGTACCTTTTCCCACCATCAGCTGGGCCAGAGCTGTTTCCACTGCCTCTCCCAACCCTTGCCTGCCCCTTCCCAATGGCATCAGAAGGGTCTGCCCCCTGGTTTCAGGTTTTGATACTGAAATCTTAGGGAATGGGATGCTGCTGACTACCTGGCAGCCCTGAGTTTCAGTCTTGTGAGGTGTTTAGCATAATGCTACTCAGATGCAGGATACATTCAGCTTGTAAACTGGTACCGCTGGCATGGTCTGCCCGTCTGTTTTTGGCCAAGTCTAATCAAAGCTCTGGTTACAAATCTCAAAGGTCTGGTAAGACCAGGAACCCAGCTTTTCGAACTGCCTCTACCCCTATGAATCCTCTTGCAAGTTGGCAGGAGGCTCTGGATGGTTTTCCACAGATCCGCCCGAGTTTCCTTACAAATCTCAATAACCTGATCTAACTGACCTGATTTATACCTACAAAGCATAGGTAGGTAGGTAGGTAGGTAGGTAGGTAGGTAGGTAGGTAGGTAGGTAGGTAGGTAGGTAGGTAGGTAGGTAGGTAGGTAGGTAGGTGTACACACACACACACATACACACTTTAAAAGAAAGTTGAAAATTACATCCTATGTATGCATGTATATATATTATATGTATATGTATGCATTTAAAATAATGTGTCTTGAGAGATATATGTATACTCTGAGAAGAAAATATGTTCCAAAATATGTATCTAAACACATTTAAATGCTAGCATTTGTGATTTGAATTTCTTTTCTTTTCCAGTTTCCAGATGGCTTTTCATAACTCGAGGCACCAGCAGGCTTTTCCTGGGAATCCAAAGCTCTGAGGATATGAGTCCCCACCATTGGCCTGGCCCATTCTTACAGCCAGTTTTATTTGGAAAAGGCAGGATTGGGCCTTATCAACCCTTTCTTCGAAGCACTGAACCTCTTGCTCAGGAAAGTAACAAAAGCTACCACTTTGTTATCTTTTCAGAAGGTTTCCAAGATCAAACTCTTTCATTTGGCTTGGGTCTGAGGAACTGGTTTCCTGCAGAGACTGAAATCTGCAGCAGTGTATTGATGGTGTCTCAATTTGTTTTCTGTATGTGATGTATTTTTTAAATATGATTATTATTATTTGATGTAAACTTCTTTGAACTGCAGGAAAGGAAGTATTTTAATAAAACAAACTTCAAGCAGCTTGCTTTTTCCTCTTTCTCTCCCTCTGCTCTTTTTATGAGCCTGATTTTTAAAAAAACACACAACAATGCAATTCCTTTGGAAAGCCAAACACATACGCGCATGGCTCATGGGCACGAGCATGCAGAGACAGGCAGAGTCTTTGAGAGAGCTGCCAGGGCTCCGATGAGTCCCTGGCAGGGGTACCAAATGCACCGTGCGAATGGCTTTCAGTCATTCAGGAGGTGGAGAGGCTGCCGAAAGGAGCAATCGGCAGGTGGGGCAACCCAGCATGGACCGGCGGCTTTGTCGGGCACAGAAATAATCGGTGTGCTTAGCAACTTGATAGCAGGTTCCGAGAGTTGTCATTCAATTGCCAGCCGACCGATGCATAAATTCTATGCTGGACTTTTGTTATGTTCCAAGCTTGCAGCTGCTTGCTAGGCTGCTGTACTTGATAGCTCAGCGCTAAACACTGCACTTTCATTTGCCTCAAACTAGGTCAAAGTAGGCAGAGAGGATGTGGGTTATTTTATTTTATTTTTTAAAAATATCAGAAGCACCTTGCCGAGGGACAGGAGCTGGGGTTTCAGGTTTTCGTTAAAAGGTTTTTGCTTGCATTCTTAATCAGTTGCCTTAATAAAAAGGCTGGGGAGTTGGACTAGCTAGATGAGCAGGAGTTTTTGGAAGTAGGCAGTTTGAATCCACAGGATATCTCGGGGAGGGGGGGAGGAGCAACCTGAAATCACCCAGAGCATGTGTGGCAGATGGAGGTGCCTTGCTACCTGTATGGATACCCTTGGGCCAACTGCATGGTCCAAAAGCGCCATCAGGAGGAGGGGCTGGCAAGCCCCTGCGGCACCTTGTTGTTATGGAACTCCACTTCCACTTCATGGTCGCTCAATAAGTTATTGAGCACTAGTCTCAAAAAGCATCCAGAACAACAGTTTTCAGATTTTTAAAATTGCAGTTGAGAAAGAGACGATGTCCCAAGGAGCTGTATTTAGTCGTAAACCCCATGCATTGCATACGATCCTCAGTGTAGTCCATGCACAGTAAAAAAACAACTATAGATCATACGGAGAGAATAGGCCAGTTCATAGAACTCAGGGACCATCTAGCCAAGCCCCACCAATGCAGGAGATCCACAGCTAAAGCATCAATGACACACACCTGCTCAACTTGTGTTTAGAACCCTTTCACTGAAGGATGGGCTGCCGTGTTCCAAAGTGATCACCTCCATTTTTGAACAGCTGGAAGTTCCCTTAATCTGATGGACATCATAGAAGTTAGCACATGAGCTCATGGATTGGGGTGATGGTGGTGGTGGTTATATGGACTAAGGCAACTTCCCATAATGATTTAGGATGTTGGACTGGGGCTTGAGAAAGCCTTACCATTAGATAGAACAGTGCAGCCACTTTTGGCTACATGTATCGGTGGCAGATAGTCCTGGGTGGTGGTGGTTATATGGACTAAGGCAACTTCCCATAATGATTTAGGATGTTGGACTGGGGCTTGAGAAAGCCTTACCATTAGATAGAACAGTGCAGCCACTTTTGGCTAGACATATCACTGGCAAATCCCCAGATAGTCCTCCAAAGCACATTTGCCTTCCCTTTCTCTTGGAACATCAACCATCCCTAAACTGGATTGGAACCCTTAAGACTGGCCTGGGCCCTAGTCAATGGTGCTGCTCTGACTATATACCTACTTCCAATACATCCCCACTCGTTGGTTCTGATTTACAATGAAAACCTCAGCTGAATGCCACAGTTCCTTATAAATAAGTACTTTGAAACATGGCTAGAGGTGAAAGCAAAGGGAGAGAAGAAAAACCTGAAATAGTATTAAAGAGTAACTCAACCGAAGTAAGTATCTAGGAAAAGACCCCAAGGAAAGTTTCTTGTTTCCCAGCGAGGGCTGATGTTGTTAGCAGGACAAGATTCAATAAGTATTCCTGTGTGAGCTTTTCTGCTCTGGGAGAAGAACCTGGCCATAATAACCATGAGTGTTCAAAAGCTTTGGGTTTTCATTGCTCAGATTCCTCACAGCCATTTATCTCTTAAAACTGCCAACGTAAATACAAATTTGAAAAGCAAACTCAAAAGCAAGCTTGACTCGGCGGCCATTTTCTATCGCCCTCTTTGTAAAAACACACACCAAAAAACCCCCCTAAGGCCCAGATTCTTTCAACCAGACATGCTGAGGACCTAAATTAGGTTATTTCTAAAAGTCCCCATCAAAAGTGGTCACCTATTATATAAATTTACCATTTAGATTTTTGGGTGGTCTTGTTTTGTAAATATATTTCGAGGCCCCTCATAATCTCAAGATCTATTCTGCAGTTTATACACAATAATTATTATTATATGTCATCAAGTTGATTCAGACTTGTGGAGAATGAAGATCTTTTCCAGGCTTCTCTAGGTAGAGAATATTCAGAAGCGGCTGACCATTCCCTTCTTCTGGGGGGTGCCCTGGGGCTGTGCAGCTTGCCCAAGGCCAGCCAGGTTGGCTCTTCTGGAATGCACCGTGGGGGAATTGAACTTGTGACTCCGTAGCCAAACACCTAAGCCACTGGGCTCTCCAGCTAGCCACATAAATCCAACAATGCTCTTCTAATTCTTCAAACAGTAAAATCTACATCATAAACAGGCAGCACGGTAATGGGGTTTAGGGTGTTAAACTGAGATTTAGGAGATCTGAGTTCAAGTTCCCACACAACCAAGAAATTTGACTATGCAGCCTTATAGCCACTTGCACTTTCTGTCAGCCTGACTTGCCACCACATAGGAATGTTATGAGGAGAAAGTAAGGAGGAGAGGAACACTTGGCATCTTGAGCTTACTGGAGAATAAATGGGATAGGAGTTCAAAAATGGCTGCAGGATGGAAGACGGCTGAACATGGGTGGACCTATGGGAATTGTATGTGAGCAGAACTAGTGAGGAATGCACTGGGGTGAGTGCATTGTATCTCACCAGTAACTGATAAAGCAGCCTTCCATTTGTCTCACAGGCTACATTGACTTCCTGTGCCTTTCCAAGCCAGATTCAAGGTGTTGGTACTAACACCGAAGCCCTTGGTTTGGGGACCCTTTGGAAAAGCAACTTCCTCAAGAACAACAGCCCATATCATCCAATCCACCCTGGCCAGTTTCCTACAGGTGGGAAGCAAAGAAGATGTCCACTAGAAACGGAGCCTTTTCGGTAGTGGCCCCACATCCTTGGAACAATCTTTCCGTACATATTCATCAGGTGCTCTCCCTCCCAGCCTTTAAGAAATTGCTCAACACCAGTATCTTCAAGGAAGCCTTTAAAGAGATTCTCCCTCTACCTTGCAATAAGTAATCTGTTGACCATCTATGTGCTTGTGGGAGGGAACCTCATGGTACAGTGGTTAAACTGCAGCTAAATTGCACTACTGCAGGCAAAACTCTGCTCGTGTCTCAGGTTCAATCCCAAGGTTCACTCAGTCTTCCATCCATCCTCCCAAGGTCAGTAAATTGAATACCCAGCTTAATGTGTAACCTGCATTATTAAATTTTAAACCACGCAGAGAGTGCTTTAAGAGCTATGGGGTGGTATATAAGCAGTGCACTTTGCTTTACTGTCTGTATTTGGAATTGTGAGACTGGGTTGACCTTGGGTTGTTGGGGATTTGACTGAGGAAGTGGATCAGGGTTTGGTATCAGTTTGGACGGTTATTTATATGATCGCCAAATGCTCAGAGTAAGAGGGGAAAACTTAGGTGGAGTCTCTTCTGTGAATGCTTAAGACCTATTATCAAAATAGTGGTGTAATGTAGCCATTATAAATAAAATCCTTAACACCGTTTGATTCCTTTCTTTTATATAGATTTACTCTGAAGTGGTCAACCGATCACAGAACAAAGAGAGGGCACCTTTTCAATCTCATTCCATTTGGTTCTTCGCTTGATAAATGTTTTCCCCTCTGATGCTCTGTTTCACATAAAACTAGCCTGCCTTGGCACAGTAAATCTGGTTTACTCTCATTTTTATGGAAACCTAAGCGAGGCCTCCATCTAAATTACCATTTATTTATTTATTTGCTTGCTCGCCTCCATGAGCATGGGGGAGGGGGAAATCTACCACTTTTATTTTACCTCAGCAGAGGGTTAGGGGGAGAGTTCCCCTGGAAATAGCTGGGTCTGTAAGTTTGTGAAGGATCCCGAATGCCATTCTTCCAATTACAAGATTTTTTTTTTCCCCTTTGTGAGGTGGTGCTCAGACAATGGCATTTATTACCTTTAATTATGACATCCTGCTGAGAGCAAATGCAAGTCCATGTATTGAGAAGCCTCGGATGACCTGTAGCGGCACTCTCTTTGGGTGGTTGCCACAGCAACCTGCGGGAAGCCATCTTCTGGCCCTCTCAGTAACAATAAGTCTGGCTGTCTTTTCTACCTACTCAGTCACCTTCAGGCAGTGTTTGGCTTGTTTGGCAGCAGACAGGGGGAAAAAAACCAATCATGCCACTGTGACTGTTGTCAACGATCCCCCAAGAACTTGCTACCTCCAGTTTGAAAGACTGAAAAGGTCTCTTCACATCCTTGTTTTATCCTACTACCAGTTGAAGTTGAGTAGACCATCCGCTGCTGTGAAGGCTAACAGAGAAGTTCGAACGTTCAAGGGAAACAACAGCTGCTACAAGGACTGTGAGGCTTCTGAACACAAAGGCTGAAATCCTGTCGCTTAGTGTAGTAAGTCATACTAAAGTGAGCCCATTGACACTGTGGGGATTCGGTGAGTTCCTTCGTAAGTTCTATTGTTTCAGATGGGTTTACTCTACTTGTGATTGACTACTTGTCACCTGAAATCCTGTCGCTTAGTGTAGTAAGTCGTACTAAAGTGAGCCCATTGACTCTTGGGGATTCGGTGAGTTCCTCCGTAAGTTCTATTGTTTCAGATGGGCTTGCTCTACTTGTGATTGACTACTTGTCATTGACTATGTTGAAGTAAGTTGGAACTGGGGTCAACCCATCTGAATCAAT